ATGAGCATCGACGCACCGGTAAAAATGCTAACATTGATCGCCCATAACAAAGCTCATGGTGCGTGAATTTTGATGAAATTGTTGGTATTGTCACCAATTTATTTATTGAAATATAATATCTTTGACGAATTTATCGTTCAGTGTACACTTTAAAGACAGACAGACAGACTATTAAAAGAAGACATTGTACAACTGACTCCAGTTTGTATCATGCCTGCATACAATTGTCAATCAGAACAAATAATGCAACAATATCAAGCTTTTATGGAGCAATATTTGAGGTATTCATAGTCCATCTATCCTTAATGGAGCTCTTTTGACTGTGAAGTTCCTTGTTTTTATCAAACCACCTATAATAGAAATAATTTTACACAGAGGCATTCTTTGTACAATTTTGTTTAGCTCCACTGTCATCAAAGTCAAGCGAGCTATTCATATTACTGATTGTCATCATCAGTTTGACATCAACATTTTCAACTTTTCAAACCATAAACTGTTTGAGTAGCACTACAAATGTGCCTTTAGTGGTTCATTCATAGATTTTTTCAAAAATGCTATTTTCCACTTGCTTTTGAAAATGGTGATTCCAATTATTTCGATACTTTATTTGTAGACACCTTTGGTGGACCTCAGTGTTCATTTTTGTGATGATACCTTCAATTTTCTAATTTTAGTCTTTTAATCTTTGTAATTTTTTGTAAAATATTCTATTTTCGGATTTGTTCTTCTTGAAATCAGCTTGCTCAACATCAATATTTGTTTATTTCATGACAATATTTCATTCTCTAATTTTAATTAATATTTCTGTTATTGTTGGTAAAAAAAAATTTCTAAAGTCTTTTTGAGAACCCTGTGCTTGATTGTTTTGCACCTTGGATGAACCACTGACGATTTGATTAACTCTTCTATCAGATTAATTCATTTAGTGCTGATAACTTTATCTTTTTTCTTATTTTGAAAATGGCTAGACTGAATTATGATTTTATTAGTCCCCACTTTATTGGTTCTCATTTGGACAAAGTTCAAAACTAGTTTAGTATCTGTGAGTTGTGCATGCATGCATGCATCTGTCTGTTCATCAGTCCAGAGCGGTATCTCAGAATACATTCACCGATTCTTGTCAAACCTTGATCATACTTAACACTAGAATTTCACAAATTCTATCCCAAAAAATGGCCCACTTGTTTATTCGTCTCAGTAAAACATTAATTTTTGACAGACACCTGTACAAAATACTTGGGCGTCTAAATGCAGCACTTTTTTCTGAGATGAGGCATTTGCTTTTATACTAAAATATCTGAATTACTTTGAATAAAGCTGGAAATTATGTCCCTTAAAATAATTAAACAAATTAGGCACCAATGTTTTTTTTGTAAGATATTTACATCAATCAAGGACATTCGGTAGACTGCTTTCCCACTGCTGTTTCAATCTTAAAACTTGTTTTAATTCAAATTTAATTACGTTAATGCATATTCATATTGAAACAAACTATGATAAAGGAAATAATATTATATAACAAAGGGCAAGGTCACCTGAGTTTAACTATGTTATTTTAATTATTTTTTTTTCCAGAGCAATATCTCAAAATGTCATTAATTTTTATGTTAAAAAAATCAGAATTAAGTATCAACTTTTGAATTCATATCTCTTGACATGTTTATGTTCAAACTATATTACTATAAACCAAACTATATATCTTAAATAAATTTGATAACTAACGGAGACTGTGCCATGCATAGCTTGTTGTTGTAAGGATACACTAAAATAAGATATCTGACATGCTGCAAACCAGATCTTGAACATCTGTTGACTGATGTACTTTATTTGGTGGATTAACCATTATGGGTAGTTGCTGAACACTACTTTGATCTGTAAATTTGACTCAAGACATCTGACTGACGGCCATTTCGTTTTTGTCAAATTTTATTTATTAATTTGGGTTCTGTCTGTCTGTCTGTCCGTGCATCCATATATTCAGAGCAATTTCTCAGATGTGCTTCAACCGATCAGATTCAAACTTATCACACAGACCTTGTATAAAGACTTACATCAATGTGGCTGATTGTTGACAATAATCTCCCCTGGAATTGTTGTTCAGAAATTAAGAGATTTGATTCATGATTCAAACAAAAGTGACTGACTGTATTCATGTGCAAGTCGATTCCTCACTGATTTATTGCCTGATTCAGTTTGAACACTACTATACCATAGGTTGTGTTATTTTGTAATATGATAAAAAACATTTTTAGCTCTGCTGTTGACTTCGTCGAGCGGAGCTTATCATATGAGTGATTGTCCGTTGTTGTCCATGTCAATGTTTTACTTTTTCGACTTCTTCTTGAAAATTACAAGCCTGAATGCTTTGATACTTGGTGTATATGTACCTTGGGTAGACCTCTCTTAGATTTGTTCATTTCATGATGATATCTTCAATTCTCTAATTTTGGTGAATATTTTTGTCATTTTTGGTAAAAAGTGATATTTTCAACTTCTTGTTAAAAACTGTAAGTCTGATTGCTTTGATATATTACATATATAGGTACTACATGTGGACCTCTCTCAGATTTGTTCATTTTGTAATGATATTTTCAATTCTCTAATTTTGCTTAATGCTTTTGTCATTTCTGGTAAAGTGATATTTTTTACTTCTTGTTGAAAACCGCAAGTCCGATTGTTTTTATATTACCTATATAGGTACTACATGTGCACCTCTTTCAGACTTGTCAATTTCGTGGTGATATCTTCAATTATCTAATTTTTATGATTATTTTTGTCATTTTTGGTGAAAATTGATGTTCTTGAATTTTTGTTGAAAACAGCAAGTCCCATTGCTTTGATACTATACATATTGTTCATTTTCTAATGACATCTTAAGTTCTTTAATTAAAATGTGCATTGCTAACAGCGGAGCTATCTCAGCTGACAGGCTGCTTGTATTTTTCATCATACAGGAAAATGATTAACTATTCTTCAATTCATTATTCACACATTTCATGTTCACTTATATTTCAGTTACGAAATACTGGACAACCTAGAGGAGCTGCTTGGGATAAAGTTAAAGAACGTCTTCTTTTACAGGATTCTTCAATTGTGAAGTTTGCTAAGAAAATACCTGGTATATAGGTTTTTAATTATACATACATACATACATACATACTTACAATTATAACATCCAAATCTATTCAACTATATTGGTATCTATGAAGACAAGTTTATAATTGGTATACTATGTTTAAATTTGTTTGAGATTCCTCTGATTAGAAGAACTACTACTGTAAAATCTGTACTAGAAGCCGCAGCTTCTATTAAAATGGTACAATGCAACAGAGGGGATGCGGCTTCTATTGAAGCATCTTACCCTTTTGAGAAATGATGAATTTTTGATTCTCAATTATTCAAAAAGTATGGGTGTGACGTGACTTCTATTAGAGATGCGGCTTCTAATACAGATTTTACGATGATCAGATTTCAATGAAACATACACATGTAGTCTGAAATAAAACACTGATGAGTCGTCTCACTGACCTGATTAGTTTTAGGTGAATGGTTTTGGGTTAATTACATAATTTGTATAATTTTAGCCATTCCATTAATATCCCAAGTTCCACTTCACAGATTTTAATAAAAGTTCGTACATATATGCTCTGGGATAACCAGAAGTCCTGAACAATTGCTCCCATGAGGGTTGTGTGCTCACCAGAAAATAAACTCTGTTGTAGTATTTGGCTACAGTGTAGCAGTGACCTCATGTGATTGGCTATAGTTTGCTGAGCATATCTAACAGAACACTTCACAGTGATACAGTGTGCTCACATGACAATATATTACGATTTCATATACAAACTTGTGCTTATTGATAAGATTATAAAACCCTTTGATTTGCTATTGAACATAAACTTCTAATTTATTCTTAATTCCTGATTATTCCAAGTACATGATCCATTCTCTAAACTTACACAAGAAAACAGTTTTCATTCGAAATGACCTCAAAAATAAATTATTGTGGTTGTTTGTGGAGGATTTCCGACAGTGATGTGTTAATACACACGCAAATTTAAACCATTGTCACTGCATCAATTTTTACTGGGACAAGATGCAAAACCTTCACATGAATTTAATTGATTTCGGGTTAATAGGTCAATAGTTGTGACCATGTTAATTATATGGTGGATTATACATTGTATATGTAAAGAGGATAGATGAGTGCATTATCAATCAACATTTTATACGGTTTAGACCTTGGGATGTATAGTTCTTTAAAGCAATGTATAAGTGTTTCTGGGAGATAAATAAATCTCTAAAACCAAGGATATAAACTCTATTTGTTTTTCCTATCTATTTTATAATTGTGAATAAGCCAATATTCATTGAATTGTTAGCTCCCAATTAAAGTGACTTAGACACATGTAATATATGTATACATGGTTAATATGTAGTGTACAACCAGAATGAAATCACCTACTTATACTGCTGTTACATCGTGGATTTCATTCAGATTAATTCATTTTCTTCTGATACCTCTATTTTTAATGATTAAATAAAATGCTATTTGTTATCCCTGTTCATGAGTAGGCATATAAATTGATCCATACACATGTGTGACTATGTGGTTAAGTAACAATTTCTCATTGCATTTGTCAGTGCATAGACATGATCAGATTTCAACTGAACTTGGTATGAAAATCACACATATAGTGGGTTGCTGATACACAATGTTAGTTCCCGTACAGACGAAGTCTGAAAACGGAGACTTATAATTCAGTCTCCGTCCGGAGCCAGATTTCAGAATTCTTTGGACCGATTCCGTTCATTCTTTGCATGTGCTTAGTACTTTATGTGGGACATATGCACATGCAGTGGTTTAGCAATTCAATTCAAAATGGCCGACCGACAGCCATCTTGTTTTTAGCTCCGCTGTCGACTTTGTCGAGCGGAGCTTATCATATTAGTGATTGTCCATCGTCGTCTGTCGTCGTCGTGTCGATGTTTTACTTTTTCGAATTCCTCTTGAAAACTACAAGCCTGAATGCTTTGATACTTGGTGTATATGTACCTTGGGTAGACCTCTCTTAGATTTGTTCATTTCATGATGATATCTTCAATTCTCTAATTTTGATGAATATTTTTGTCATTTTTGGTAAAAAGTGATATTTTCGACTTCTTGTTAAAAACCGCAAGTCCAATTGCTTTTATAATACATATATAGGTACTACATGTGGACCTCTCTCAGATTTGTTCATTTTGTGATGCTGTCTTCAATTCTCTAATTTTGTTGAATATTTTTGGTAAAAAGTGATATTTTTGATTTCTTGTTAAAAACCAATAGTTCAATTGCTTTGATACTATACATATTGTTCATTTTCTATTGATGTCTTCAGTTCTTTAATTGAAATGTGCATTGCTAACAGCAGAGCTATCTCAGCCGATAGGCTGCTAGTTTGAAAATGTTATATTTTGGACTTGCTTTGTCAGTTTTTTATTTAAACTTGGTACATAGATTATACATGTTAGGATCCATGTACATGACAATTTCTTTCACAATTGGATCAAAGATTGCCGACTGGCAGACATGTTTTTTTTTTTAAATGTGGTATCTTGGACATGCTTTCATTCAAATTTGGCACATACTCTATACATGTTAGGATACATGTCCATGACAATTTGTTTCAAAATTAGATCAAGGTGGCCGATTGACAGCCATCTGACTTTTAGCCTTCCTACTATATTTCCAAGATTTATGTACCATTTTCATTTGTATTTGGCACATACATCATAGAGGGGGGCAAGGCTTATTTTCGTTCAACGTAATTGCAATATTTGTTTGTTCGTACAATGTAAATTGAAAAAATAAATTCTGTAATTCTGTAATCACAGACTAGAGGTACAACGTAAACAATCAAATATTTTTTTCTTACACTGTAAATATGTGTCATTTTTCTCAGTACGTACAAAAATTTACATCCAAATAAAAAAAGTCGTAAGAATAATCCAGGGAAATTATATTTTTGAAACTGTAAAACGACGAGATGACACAATGCACTGCAAAATTCAATTTTCACTGTAAACTGTAAAAACATCTTTTTTTCCTTGTAAATTGTAAAAAGCCTTTTTTATTTCCCGTAAAACTGTACCAGCTACCCCCCTTGCCCCCTTCATCATACATGTCACTTTGTTTCATAATAGATCAAAGAGGGCCAAATAACGGCTGTTTTTATTGTGGCTATATTCCTATATCTCTGTCACCCATGTATCATTTTCATTGATACATTGTATTTATCATGTCATAAATGGATACATGAACATGTCAATTCAATTTGCAATTTGATCAAATTTGGCCAACTGGCGGCCATCTTGTTTGTTTAAAGTGTGATAACTTGGACATGCTTTCACTTGTGATCTATGTTTTTCTTTGCTATGTCTCAAACCGGAGGGGTCATCACGCAACACATGTTCGAAACTTGATGTAAATAAACAATCTGTTGTATACGCCACTTGGGACTCAAGTTTCAAGGACATGCTCGTGACAACCCCTCCACTTTCGAGTAAAAACAGAAAATTGGCTCAATTTTTGTCTGTTGGCTCCAAAATTAGGGTTTATTTCCAGAAATATTGAAGAATATAAGAAAAAAGAGCAGAAAAGTTTAAGTTAACATGTAAAAATTAACAAAGAATTCATATAATTATTTTTGTGTGTGTAGGCTTCCATGATTTAAATTTGGATGATCAAATACAGTTAATTAAACACAGTGCCATGGCAGGACAAATACCATATCTAGCCAATCATGATGAAGCATGGAAGTGGTTTAAAGAAATCATTCTGGATATGGAAGGCTTACAACCACTGGTCCTTCAATGTAAAAGTCAGATTGTGAGTGCAGTTGAAGCGTTTAGAAGGTTCTATGCCACACCTGGAGAATTAGCTTTGTTTTCAGCTGTTGTAATACTTAACCAAGGTAAGTCACTTCCACAATGTGAATTTATTTTGTGAAATTAACCTGCCATTATGTGATAAATTTTTGTGACTGTAGTAGTGACCTCTATTTTCAGAAATGGCCAACTGTGATAGGTTAAATGCATGTGACTGTAGTAGTGACTTTCTCCTCCATATTCAGAAATGGCCAACTGTG